TACCTGCGTACCAGTTATGTGCACCCCTGGATATAACTACTCTCACCAGCCAACACATGATTTGGACTTGTAGTCTAAGAACAATATTTAAGTTTATTAGACACAGTGAAGCACTAGTAGTTGTTCACTTGTGTGTGTGGAAGTGGCTGTTAACCTTTTAACTGCCAGCACCACCATTTGGTAGAGCACATTTCGCGTCTCGATATCTTGTTGAAAAAAAAAAAAAAAAAGTTGAACTCCATCTGATTCAGCCAGCTCTACCCTTTGGTTGACATGTTATGCACAAAACAACCTCTAGATGTCACTGTGGTTCAAACAGAATGCCCTTCAGCTAGCTTCAACTGAGAAAGTTGGCAATGCTAAAAATCACTGCTGAAGAAATCACTCTTTTTGGTCAACTTTTGTAAGGTAACCATATCCTTTTTGACATATTTTAGTGGCAGGGCACTGACTGAACATAATTAGATAACTTGATGCACAAAAAAAGTTTTAACAAGGGTGTAATTATTTTTTTGAAAATATGCTCAACCAATCGGTCGAATTGGCCTTTTATGGTAAGCTAGCAATATGACTTTTTCAGAGTTCAAATGTTTTCCAATAAAATATGGTAAATAAATGGCTAGATTCATGGTAATATTACTAAATCTATTACTGCCTTATGAGTCTCAGAGTGAAAGAGTGATAATATTTTATATAGCACCTTTCATGCATGGCATTCAGCCCAAAATTGCACACAGATGAGCAAGTTAGGCCAACACAGGATATGGACATGTGCTGTTCGGCCAGTGGTTTCCTGTTAGGCCAATTCAGCATATACAGTAAGATGAGCAAGTATTTTTTTTATCATGAAAAACACTTTACATTACTTTTTTCCATTTTATTTTTTTTACAATTATAATTTATTATCTTTTATGAATATATCTGGTTGTATATATTGCTCATTTTCCATAAAAGAAACAAATGTATTTGAGTTTGTGTTTTATTTGAGTTTGATGCATACAAATACTGTACTGTATATGATGATTACTTTTACCATAGAAGGCCAGTTCGACCATTTGGTAGAGGCTCATAAAAACAAAACTGTGTGGTCAGTCAACAAAAAAAAAATGTGTTTGTGCTTATTTGTGGCCCATTTGATAAGAAAATGCTAAAAAATAATTTTTCCATAGCTTTTTTCTTGGTCCGGCCTGGTTAAACATCAGTGCTGTTCAGGTTGGTTGCCAGCAGAGTGCAGCAGTAGTCTCTCTAAAAAAAACAAAAGCTGCCAATGGAGATTAACACAGAAAGAGAGCATGAGCAGTGCATGCACGCAGAGGGGCTGAAGCCCCACATGCAGGGTTAATGGACAGTGTGGCGGACTGGATGGGACTTAAGTCCCAGGAAGCTCTCTCTGTCTCTGTTGTGTAAACGTCCTGCTGTGGTTGCCATGCCATGATGTGATGGCTCCATCAGTGGAGTAGAGGCTAGTAAAGCAGCACCACCACCGTTTCAGTGACCTTGAAAAGAAAAAAAGAAGAGAAGCCGAGCTGGAAGAGAAATATTAGTCTGGGGACTCACTGACACTGAGAGCCGTCTGCACACACATTTACTCAGTGGACTCTACGATCACATCCATCTCTGTTATTATTGTTAAATGTTTCTACTTGGTCTAAGCAAGGGATGAGTTTTTCTTTCTTGTTGCATATCCCATGATGCATTTGCCTGCATCTGGGTTCATAGACTGTGGCGGGAGAAAGCGAGGGTAGTGATCAGTCTCATGTTTCTTAATCGCAGAGTAGCACAAGGACAGCAGAATGCTTCCATGCTGATTTCTCTCCAGATTAGCCCCAGTCTCGCCTTGAGAGTGGAATGAATGATTTGAAATGAAAGAGGGTTGTCTATCTATCCCGTGCAGCTTCCCCTCCTTATGATGGACGAGCATGTGCATTTATGTGTGCCGGTCGAGCCCATTTAACGCCCCCCCCCCCCCTTTGTCGCTGGAGAGGCGGGACTGGTTAGAGAGGGGGGAGGGCGACGGAGGCAGAGTACAGGAGTGGGAGGAGGGGGAAGAGATGGAAAGAGGGGGGTAGGAAGGGGGGTAAGACACACTGTGGCAAGCATCATCTTTTAAATATTTTCTGCTTTGAATAGAGCAGTAAGCGCATGGTGATCCAACGCTCTGGGAATGAGCAATTTAAGGTGGCAGGGGACGGCACACAGGCGAGTAAGGAGCAGCATTTAAACTCTGCTGCCCCTCAGCCAACCTTTCTGTTGTTGGAGGAGCTCACTGAGGTCCAGGACTGCGGCTGCACACAAAGAGAGAGACACTTCCTCCAGCCGCGGATGGATATCTGAGATGCCTTAGTGGCAGGTAACCCAAACGTGGGGGATTTGTGTGTATTAATTTGTCCTTCTGGGGCCAGATTGTATGTAAATATATGAGCTAATGCAGGCACCGCCTGATATCTGAGCTGTGTTAGCATGTCTTATTTTGAAAGGTGTACTCTTGAAAGTGTGCGCAGAGGAAGTGATGCTCAGCATGCTTTCAGTGCAAACTTTTCGATTTTTGCTTTTATTATTTTAATTTGTATCAAGCTAATGTTTTTTTCTATGCAAAAAGGATCTTTGCTGATCTGTAGTTCTCTGTGTGATCCTGCTACCCATCATGCCTTTGCCCTCCTGACCCCCTTCAGTCCTTAATTCAAGCGCTTAGCTCATGCTAACATTTTATACAAATCCTTGCAGAGAATTAGAGCTCTTCCAACATGACCTTTTTCAGAACAAATGTCTCATTCTGTGTTTGTCAGTCTGGTTTGCTGTATTACTGTTGAGCAGTAACTAGGTCGCTGTGTGTTGTGTAACAGACTATGTGGATGAGTTTCTTACAGTTATAAATAGCCAAAACTTCCCTTAGCTTCCAAGGCCTTTGAAGTCTCTTCTTCAGTAATGTCTATCAATTTATTCCCAAACTCCTGCAAGGCTTTGATCTTCTCAATTTTGGGTCATATACTATAGAAATCTGTGCTAAATCTACACTGCCACCCAGCGCTGATGTTTAGCTGGCAGTTTATGCAATATATATGTCATACTGCAGGATTTTTGATGAGGTGATAATATAAATCATAGCTATGTTGGTTGCAGATGAAATACCAGAATATTTCCCAAATAAACGCTATCATGAAGACTGGCACATTCATGATATTTTAATCTTTTTTCAGGCATTACTTCCCGTTGTTCTTTATAACTCTAGTTGTGCTGCTCAGTATAAAAGTGTTTTTACTATTTAATGGAAAATGGAGTTTGGACACGGTGTTCCTCTTGTATAGCAGGTCACATGCTAAGAGGTTGTTGTATTATAAGCATCCATTATTTAAAGTGTAGGCCCTCTCACTACTGACGCCTCTGTCTCTCTATTTTTTTCTCCGGTCCCAGTTGGCCTTCGCAGAGGGGCAGATTGAAGGACCGAAGGCTGGTCAGGACTCCAAAGAGCCTGTGTTTCTGGTCCAGGTCACTTGCCAGGTAGTATTATATACTGCATTTGTATTATAGACTCCAACAGAGACACACAACTTGCTCTGCCTGATGGGCCTTTTTGCAAACGTCAGGAAGTCAGGGGCCAGTTGTCAAACAAACAAATGTAATGTTTCAGATAAAATAAATAAACATTTTAAGGCCCATCTTTCCTTAAATCTTTATTTTAATATTAACTCACTTAATAACTTAACATAAAACTTGGTACAACTATTGACACTTGGCCTGTATGACAGTCCAGCCAGATATTTTACAGCAGAAAACTACTTTTACATTTACAGTAATAACAAAAAATCCCATGGGAATCAATTTATTTTGATGTGAATTTGAAAAACTTTTGGAATGCACCCTATTGAGAGGACAAGTTTAGTATCACCGGACTAATTTCGGAAAATAACTGAAACTAGCTTTCTCCACTCAATCTTACAAAAGTTTATTTTTGTCTCTTTTGTCAGAGTCGTAACTGGCTGGTAACCAGGTCCTATGAAGACTTTCGGGTGCTGGACAAACATCTGCACTTGTGTATCTATGATCGGCGTTACTCCCAGCTCACAGAGCTGCCACGATACGACACATTAAAGGAAACTGTTGAGGTATCACATAGTTTAACCCCAGTATTTCTGATCTCTCATGAAATTAGTCTGTTCTGTTGCATGAAGTGTGGAAAATTGCTCTTAAATTGCCAGACTTTTATTAAATCTTGATAATCTTGTCTTTATTCAGTCTGTAACCAAGATGCTGGCCACCTACCTGTCCAGATTCTCCGCCATTGCTGACAACAAGATCAACTGTGGACCAGTGCTAACATGGATGGAGGTATCTTCTTATCAGCTGTTTGCTCTTCATATCAGTTATTCACTCTCTACATTTTAACCCCATTAAGTGACATCAATATTTAATATTGACTTTAATATTCAAACAGATTGGTTAAAGCAACATTTGCATATTTTTGGGAAGAAAGTTGTTTGCCCATTTTCAGCTGGTAAAATAATGTATGAATTTCAGGGGCTATGTAAAGGAAATTATCAAAGAGTGAAGGACTTGACTTTACTACTGAAAAGAGCCCTATTATGCTTTTGGGTTTTACCCTTTCCTGTAATAATATGTTTTATAGGTTTGTGTGCATGTAAATTAGCTAAAAAACTAAGTGTAAAACATGTAGTCATAGGTGGAAGGAAGTTGGCTTGAAAGGTGCCATGTGATATGCTGTGATGCGATTTATACAATTTGACTAGAATGTGAAAAAATGTTGTCTGTTCTTTGGGGAAATTACTGCTGCATCAGTGTGTTTTACTTACAAAATCCAACCCAATATGATTGTATAACGGGCTAGGCAAGCCAGAAGTAATTACAAGGTAAAATACACCCAAAAAAAACCATACTTCTGTAAAATATACTTTTGCTACACGTGATACTTACAGTATATCCCTCCTTCCATTAAAATAGAGCAAGAGCAGCCGCTTCTCCCTCCGCTAAATTTGGCCAACATGTCTAACTCTTTAAAAATGTATTACTTTAAATCTTGCTTATGTTGTTTTTTACAGATCGAAAACAAGGGGAACCATTTGTTAGTGTCTGAAGAAGCCTCAATCAATGTCCCTGCCATCGCTGCTGCCCACGTCACCAAACGCTACACAGCTCAGGCCACGGACGAGTTGACCTTTGAGGTAACCTCTCTTATATAAACAACGCTGTCTCCTAAAAATTACGTTCCAACTAAACTGCATTATCAATTACGTTTGGCTAGAAACATATTTTTTCCTACGTTACGTTGGTTATGAACGTATCTGAAATACGTTTATTTTCTACATATCTTCTAGAAACATATTTTCTCCCGTTACGTTTCTTATGAACGTCTCTTAAATACGTTTATTTTCTACATATCTTTGCCATTTATTGTCTTGCTTATAATAATGATAATAGTCATTTATAAATATCATTTTAGAGCACACATGTGAAATCAGTAGGCGAGGCTGTAATTTCGCCAGCTGTTACTCTGATGAGCGAGGCAGAAAATAATAGTTTTATTGCACCTCAAACATTAAAACAAATAGAGTTACGTGTTTCCGTACTTCCTCTAAGAAGAAAGGACAGTAACAGAAGATCTCTGTGACGCCAGATGTGGTGTTGTTAATGCGATATGATATCCGAAAAAAAAATCAGTTTAGGATGGCCAAAGACACTACACTACCCATAATCCCCAGCTATCGTTTGGGACTACAGTCCCATTGGCAAACCCCGTGATTAATCTTCAAGCTCTGGGATTGGATGTTGGAGTGGCAGTGCGCCAAGGTTACACCGAGCGTCAAGCTCTTTGAAATGGAACGAAACCACGGCAGACTATTCCAAAGTGGACTCGAACGCCCCCCTAGAACTACACATACTGGCTATTGTGTTTCGCAACATGTTCTCTATGGCACTTCTCTACTGGGAATTGTAGTTTTAAAAGTAGTTTTCGTTTTTCCCAAAATTAGAAGGTGACAGTATTAAACTGTGTACAGCCCTGGAGGTTTAGGCGATAGGAAACAAATTGGTGTGTACAAATTGAAAACATGTAATTACTAAATGGGTGAAAATCGCTTGTATCCATAATGGGCAGCATTAATATATACCCACATAACAGCTCATTGTTACTTTCTAATTCTACTCCACTANTACAGAAACCCGTTTGCCGTGATTTTTTACTAATTTGTACTATCATATATTTTGGTACGAGCATAGATTTGTTGGATATATTTACGTTGTGTCGAACAGTCAAATTTCATCAAGCACCAGGAAGACAAAGGCGTAAGGTAAATACTCGTTATGTAAAGAATTGTTCGCTTCATTTTCCTCCCCACACTAGTATTTGTTAAAGGCATAAATAAATAAAGAGGTTCAATACAAAACCACCTCTTCAGAGTTTGCCGCATAACATTTAGTAAAATTTCTAACCGAAATTAGTTAAACACGGTTTACGAATAAGTAAAGTTATATGACTATTTACTCCTCCATTGTAAAAAAATACCATAATACAGGTGTATAAAGAAGAAGTAATAAGGAAGACGGTTGCCACAAGCGTCAAACGAGCAGAGAGGGCAAACCCGAATCACGCATGGCGTAACCAGTCTCAAAACGCACCTCCTGGCGTGCGTAAAGAGGGCGGCAATGCCATTTTCTTAACGTAAAACGTATGGAAACTAAGAGCACCATATGTGGTCAATTGTACAGATAATATAACACAACACATTAGTTGTATTTCCTTTAACTGGTGGATTATGGATATTATGATCGACAGCTGAACACAACCAAATACAAAAAAATAATTCAGATCCAGTCGTCATGACTCCTCTCCGGAGGGATTCCCCGATCATTTCTTACAGTTTCTCATCAAGGGGGGGGTCTCCTGTCCCCGGTACAAACACACTGATACACTGCCTGAAGAAGGTTAGGTAGTGTATCTTTTTTGTCATTAACCTTTTTCGGACCATTTATTTATTTTGGTGACGATCCGACCTCCATGTTGCTACTCTGGTTCAAACTGCATCCACCAAACAATATGATTTATCTCGACCTCCCCAAAATAACGAAAATCTGACACGGTGTGAGATGTCTTTTTTAGCTGTTCTGTCGTCATTTCCTGCGTTCTTCTTCATGCAGTCAGTCAAAATGAATGAATGAAAGGGCGTTTCCGTTACATGAAGCCCGCAAAAGCTGCACAGCATTTCGAGTTGATTGTGATTTATAAAGGTAAACCGGCGTAGGATGTGCCGGTACGCAAGTCCTACACCGGTACACAGTGTTTTATGAATCGGAAAATGTCTGTGCGTATTTATTTACTTTGTCCTACGTAAGCAACCTTCCCACGTGAATCCTACGCAAGGCTTTATAAATGAGGCCCCAGGACTTTCCCCAGGAGACCAACTGTCAACTCAGACTATATTCAATTTTTATTCCGTAACAAAAATTATGCTGGGTAACCATTTTTAAGCAAACTATTATCTGTCACTAAACCTAACCAAGTAGTTTGGTAGCCTAAGCTTTTGCATTTCTTTTCTCAATCACATGTTTTCCTTGAAACATCTACACATACAGTTTTAGTAGACTGGTGTCCACATGTTTTCCTGGTGACTCCTGTGTAGCAGAGCTTCAGAACACAAAACTCGAAATGTCATCAATGAATCAGTTGGACATTGTTTTCCCAACACCAATGCATTCAGTAGCCGTGAGGACCGGGCGAGCGTTTCTGAACAGGCGTACAGGCTAAGAGGAAGACCAATTCCAACATGTTATTCTTTCATCTTCAAAGTTCAAGGTGACTGAATTGATTTGACGCTCGCTATCACGCGAGTGGCCTGCCCGCGAATGCGCCCTGACATCTCCTCACTGCTGGCTAATGAATGGCAAATATAGCAAAACCGCAGTACTCCACATCTGATCTGCAGAGCAACAAAGAAAGCCAGGCTCCATCACCAACACAATCAATGGCTGCTGCATCGCAAAGCAATACCATTTTTACACACACACACTTTGCTCAAAAAGCAAATGTATTATTTCTACTTATGTTTATCTCAGTCTGTCAGCCCAGGTTAGCGACAGGAGAGGGAGAAATAAGGACATTTAGTCCAGTTTTATATTCTATTGGCTTTAACAGTAAATTATTTGGGCCTTTATTACACACCCCCACCCCCTCCTCCAAGTCAATCCTTTTCTGCTTAGCAGGGTGGCATGTTATTAGGCCTGACATAACCAGGGTTAATAGAATTCTTCAGGGGTCTACAACCATGAGCGATGTGATCCCACCAGCAGAGAAATAATAATCCTTTATCGCAAAACATGCACAAACAACTGAGGAAAAAAAACTGAATATGAGGGAGGAAAAAAAACTTAGTTTCAGCAGTCCCTGTGTGATCAAAAATGATGTAAAGAGAGGTGTGTGTGTGTGTGTGTGTGTGTGTGTGTGTGTGTGTGTGTGTGTGTGTGTGTGTGTGTGTGTGTGTGTGTGTGTGTGTGCTAATTGTAAACTACAAACGCAGTTAAAGAGCGGATTGTTCCTCAGCTAGCAGTGACCACAATACTCTCCTCTGTCCATGTCCTGTCCTTCAGGGCACGGGCCACTGACCATTGGCCAATGACACACACACACACACACACTGAACGAGCCGTCAAATTCTCGCTGAAAGAGGCCCTGTGGGTTCACACTGCACTAAAATGCATTCAGTTTGATCACAAGTGGACAACTCAAGACAGGTATTTTTGTAGATAGTATCAATTATTGATGAGTGTGTCTGACTCTTACAGGGAGTGAGTCATGGAGAAATGGGCTCTAGGGCTGTAACCAGTTATTATTTTTAGCCATATCTAATTTATCAATCATTCTTTAAGCAATACATCAATTATTTAGTTGGATCATCACCATTGAGTTGAAATGTGTCTCCCATGGTTGCAGTGCAGTACTCTGATGGCAGGTGTCCCCTGCAGATCACAGCTTTACAGAAACACAATCTGAATATATATAGTTACCAGATAGCAGATCAGAAGGGAGCGAGTCAGCCTGCAGAGAGAGGAGACTCTTCAGGCTGATGGGGACAGCAGGAGAGGAAGAGGATGAATAAAGGGAGACTGTTGAGAGTGAAATGATGGCGGTGAGGAGAGAAGAGGGGGAGAGGAGAGAAACAGAGGACTGTCTGTGGTCCCCGTCTGAAGGAAACGGAAGCTGCCCGCTGTGTGCTTCTTGACAGTTTCTTTTACTCTCTCAGAATATCACACACACACACACACACACACACACACACACACACACACACACACACACACCTGCTGCCTTGATTATCAAACCAGATCACACACTTTCACTCCCCTCACACTTCCATTTCTATTCGTATCACTCCTCAGAACTACTTACTTTCTCTCTCATTATTATTCGCCCTTATTCTCAGTGTCTTAGGTATGTTGTTGTGACAGAATGATGAATGTAGATGTTGTCCTTTGGCTGTTGGTTTCATAGAGATAAACAGTGTGTGACAGTGAGTAACGGACTGATTAAAAGATATGGTTTCTTTCCTGTTGAGTGAATATATTTAGTAACTCAGTGGTCTCTAATTTTGGCTCATTCTATACTGAATTTGAAAGCTTATCTGGAAGTGTGTATTATGAATCTACATGCATATCTTTTACAATATATCTATATGTTGATAGTTTTCCCTTTCATTTTGTCATTGTATGGAGTGGAATCTTTAGCAAATAATTAAAAATGTTAACATAAATGTGTATGGTTTAATCAAGCTCCGGCAAAGAGTTAATATTTCTTCTTCATAACATACTAGATATAATATATGAATAGTCAATTTAATATAGTTCAAGATGTTTCTCTTTTTGAACAAAGACGTATTGATTGATTGTGATATTACATTTTGTTAAGCTTGCATACTTAATGACATTTCTATTTGTAGTTTTAGGCATTTCTAACAACTGAGCTAAGAGGCAGTTTTAATCACATTCATTAAATGACACTTTATTTATTTGATGTTTTATTTTGTCCAGGCCCTGCACTCTGAGTGTGACTTGGAGCAGCAGCCATGTCGGGCTCCTACGATGACTCCATGATGGATGTCTCCAGTGACAGCTTCTGGGAGGTGAGACGCTTCACTTTCTTGACACTACCTGCTCCTTCGATCCTTTGCGTATTGAGATGACAATAACATCTGGTTACATTTGAATATTAGTGAATATACCAAGTTAACCACAACGCAACATAAAATCCTCCTGTTTAAATTTTTCATAAATAATCATCTCCACTCAGAGAGCATAATCTAGGTTAAAGGCTAACACTTTCTAGCTCCTTTTAACCATGTTGCTGTTTGTCAGGTTGGTAACTACAAGCGCTCAGTGAAACGGGTAGACGATGGAAGCCGGCTCTGTAATGATCTGATGACCTGTATTCATGAGCGAGCACGTATTGAGAAGTCCTACTCACAGCAGCTCTCAGAATGGGGAAAGCGCTGGCGCCAACTCATAGACAAAGGTAGGACTATTTATATTCAACTCAAGCTTTACATGAAATTGTGTAAAGCTGTTAGCGTCAAATAATATAGCAATTCAATAAATGAAAAAGGTCCCTGTGATTGTGTGCTTTCTTTGAGACAATAATATGAAATAATAATAATAATAATGCCTTGACACTGATGGTGAGTAACTCTTCCCTCAGGCCCTCAGTATGGTACGCTGGAGCGGGCGTGGTCTGCTCTGTGCACGGAGGCGGAGAAGGTGAGCGAGCTCCACATGGACGTGAAGTCAGCGCTGATGGGAGAAGACTACGAGAAGCTGAAGAACTGGCAGAGAGACTCGTACCACAAACAGATGATCGGCGGCTTCAAAGAGACTAAAGAGGCGGACGACGGCTTCCGCAAGGCTCAGAAGCCCTGGGGGAAGAAACTCAAAGAGGTGTGGGTCTCAAACGGGATAATGAACTAGTTTCATTTGTATTATAGGGGCATATTTAATTAGGAGTAACTATCAGAATGCACTGATATCATTGAACACTTACTGTGACTCTATCAAAAAGACAATAATGTATTTAAAAAAGCCTTAAAATCTTTAGTATCTTTAACCCCCCCCAAAAAAAAAAAAAACAGTTTTTATTGAGTAAAACTATTTAAAAAGTTGTATTTGACTAAGTAAAGACAAAACACCCCATTATTTTAGTCCACTAAAATAGGATGAGGTTGACTAAATAAGAAAATATCTAAAAAATAACATTTAAAACAAGGTTAAATACAGAAAAAATGCTGACAAAATTACACATAATGATGTGTCTTAAACTATAAACAGCTTTACAGAAACCACAGGTTAGCCATTTTCCAAGTCACTGATTATAGCCATGACTATGAATGTAACCCTCCAGTCCACATGACTACATATCCCTGACTCACTATTGTTTCCCTCCTTGACTACCTGCTAACTAAACAACAAGCGGAACATCATTTGCAACCCTCTTCATATTGAATAAGAAAGCTATTACCAAACATTGTGTGGCCGCCGTTAACTGTATCCTGTAGTCCTTTGACTGTCAGTAGAAGGGAAGGAAACACAGAGGGAGGCGGGCAACCCCGAGTTCAAAATCAGGTCACTGTATTTCCTACTGATGCTTTCATTTTAGCAGCCTGTGTACCCGGCAGCAAACACATTCCTTTCTGTCCCCACACAGGCATATAAGAACGTCCACAGCCAAATATTTGTATTTTCAAAAAGCCATTTTGCAACCTCCAGACTCCTTGCGCCCATTTCCTGTGTGTGTGATGTCACTTCGGCTGGTGACATCCTGGCCTTGTCATTGAGCAGCGACAGAACAATACAGTTTTGTAGCCCGAGTGATTTATTGATTGAAAAGACAGACAGTGACAGCGGGTAGGGGGCAGAGAGGAAATGAGGCTAATTAATTGGTCTAGAAAAATTATACGCTGACATGGGTGACGTGTGCATTATGTCAATAATAGACACGGCATGAATACAGTGCGAGTCCAAGGCCCTCGTGGGTTTCTGTTGATTGACAAACAGCTTCCTGTAATATTAAATTAGAGAGGAGGTCAGGCTGATGTCTCTACTAATGTCCTTGTGTTCTTCACATGGCCTTCAGCCAGTTATTCTGGTCACAGCACAGGGCCCTCTTCAAATAACACCACAATATCTGAGTGCGCTTCCTCAATTGTTATCTGTTGGAATTTAAATATAAACAAAGTGATATAGGAGTGGTTCCTTTCATAAATGCATCACTCATCAAACTCATCTGGCATCAGTGTTTCACTTTTTCTGTTTTATAAAGTTAATTAATTCAGACATCATTTTCATTTCAAACTGAGAGAAAATCTAATGAAATGTCCTAGAAGACAAAATGGCAATAGCAGTAACATTCAGCACATTTTGAGAAAAGACAGCTTATGTTTAGGCCCATTTCCAACACCTTAACCCAAAAGAGAGGTTGTCTATAACTCGTTATCCCTCAGTCACACCACAGACACCAATCTTTCTACACTTCTACAGTTGTTGGTTCCAAGTTACTTTAAAAGGCTGGCACTATTAACTGCATTTCTTTGTTTATTGTTGGCTCCAGATGGAAACGATGAAGAAGTCATACCACTCTGCCTGTAAAGAAGAGAAGCTAGCAGCCAGCAGGGAGACAAACAGCAAACTGGAGAGCAACAACAACCCCGAATCCCAAAAGAAGCTCCAGGAAAAGGTGGAGAAGTGTCAGCAGGAGGTGGAGAAGGTAGGGCTTCCTTTGGAAAGACATGGACGTTGTATTTTTCTAGAAAAGCTTCTTAAGATATTATTTTTCCCCTCGCTATCTCATTTTCTAGTCAGGTCTGTACCAAGAAACCTCTTAGTGAGCCTGCCTTATATTATTCTAAAGAAGCAAGAAACTAAACCCCTTTGTTTTGGGAGCTGTAACGTTTATTTATTTTTCAATGGTATTTTTCAAAACCATTTTTAGGTGAAACCTAACATATCATAGAACAATAGTAACAAAAAAAGCCAAATTATTATCAAGGTCGAGAAGAATTAATGTGTTTAATATGTTTTTAATGTCACTTGATTCCTCTTCTCTCCCAGACTAAAGAACGCTATGAGAAATCCCTGGAAGAACTGGACAAGCTGACCCCTCAGTACATGGAGAACATGGAGCAGGTGTTTGAGCAGTGGCAGCAGTTTGAAGACAAACGGATTCGCTTCTTCGGGGAGCAGTTGCTGGAGGTTAAACAGCACCTCGATCTCTCAACCAATCACAGGTCAGAGGTCACATGACAGCCTCATGGGCAGACAGGGAAGGGAGAGATTTTCTATCACCTATTCATAATGTACAATAATGCCTCCTCAGATTCCAGACAATCTACCACACGCTGGAAGACACGATTACTGCTACTGACGTTGAAGAGGACCTGAAATGGTTCCGGTCCAATCACGGCCCCGGCATGCCAATGAACTGGCCCCAGTTTGAGGTACTACAGCTCTGACTTATTGTAAAAATGCATAATGTTTGATATGGGATTAGTGGAGAAGAAACATCGATAACGCTTCTCCATTTGTTCCCAAAAAGTGTTCATGTCGCAGATATATATACACACGTAATCACATTAGGATCTTTTTTTATTTTTACATTGAAGACAAAGTAATGATCCTTATATTTTGTTTAGGGAGGTTATAATGACTAATTACAGTCCTTGCATAGCTTGAAATGCTAGCATCTCTTAAAAATAACAAGTGCTCTCCCAGGCCCGACTGCAAAATGGATTAAAAATGTATGAAAAAAATGTCAAGCGAAACATAACAACAATATCTGTGTAACATGTAGCCCAAGCTGGACTCAATGTGCTGTGTCATTGATGTATGGTGTTTGGCAGCAGGGGGTTAACGTAAATCTCTCCTCAACCGTCAGAGCAGCAATGAGGAATGAAGTTTCTGTCATCTTCCCAACAGGAGGTGAAATAAGAAAAAGAGGCCGCAGAGGGAAAGAAAAGCTCTGTGCGCTTGCATTGCTACAATTGACAGCTCTTTAAATGCTCTTGCAGGCATAGCTGTTACAATGGGGCGACTTATTGGAAGGCTTTTTCAGAAAGAAAGACACATTTTCTCTGACAAGACACACACACACACAATCAAAAAGAATAATCTGTAAATTAAGTCTACCAGGGTATATATTAAATTAAACTAAGTGATGTAATCGATGTCAACAACAATACAACATGTTTGTATCTTGATTGCTTTAGAAGATCCTGGCTCTTGGTCATGTTATTTATTATAGAAATAATACCTAAAATACTTTCCTGGTGTAAGTGTACTAACTAACATTTCTGAGTGCTTCATATGACACTCCACCCATTAAGGACTAGGCTGTGTTGTCCTCATTAACCCTTTCCACACCTGCTTCCCTTTCCCCATGTCTGACAGAATCTTGATTGGTCCCATCCTCGCTCCTTTAAGAGAAGGTCCATTGTAGTGAGTTCTGCATGGGAGGGCTGCTCTTCTTCACAGCAGCCGTGGGGGGGGGGATCCTTTTTTTCCAATAACACTCTCACTCCTTACTGCCTCTTTTTCTGAGTGTTTGACGTGGTTGTGTGTGTCTATCTTTTACTCATAGAATATTATGCTTTAATTCAAAGATCACAGCTCTGTCCTTTCCAAACATATGTTGATATTTCCACATTTGTTCCCTTTACTTGAAAACTACAGGATCTTTACAAACCTTTTTCCTGGATATGAGAATTTCTAGAATTACTCAAAACCTGACTAAACACAGCTGAGACTGTCTCTTCTAACCTTTGAACTCTGACCCCTTTGTGACCAGTCCACTGATAATTCTGTCCACGTGAACCCTGCAGTATGTCACATGATGCCACCATGACTCAGCAATCACTCAGAGGTCATGAACCAGACAGGAAGACAAGACTTCTGATCTCTAAACTTTTGAAATGACTGGTCAGATCAGAGGGGTTAGACAAAGTCTTTGGAAATCTCAAAGGTCACACTTTCTAATGCTAAGTCATTAAGTCAAAGGGACTGACTCAGAGTTATTTGAGAGTGAGACATTTATTACCAGCAAAAAAATGATATCATGTTGCTAAGTTTTCATAGATACGGTTGATTTCTCCTGGAAATAAAAGTCCACTCGGTTGGGGAAAAAACTAATGTTTTCAAACACATTTTCTTTTCTACCGTGTTGCTGTGATGGTCTCTCTTTAATCCACTCTTCCTGGAGGAGGGGAGACTCCTTGGTGCTGTGTTTCTTTTTGCAAATGATGGATACTGCTCGTCTTCTCTTATCAGGCCAACACTGTACTGTAAAAACATGTACAATTTCAATACCAGGGTCAGTGTCACGGCCTGAGAAGTATTTCACACATTTGTGTTGAAGTGTGTGTCTGGTGCTGTGACTCCCACTACTAGCTGTGAAAGCATGTTTTGAAGATATTCTGTAGTAGTGGATACTCAGTGTGTGTGTGTGTGTGTGTGTGTGTGTGTGTGTGTGTGTGTGTGTGTGTGTGTGTGTGTGTGTGTGTGTGTGTGTGTGTGTGTGTGTGTGTGTGTGTGTGTGTGTGTGTGTGTGTGTGTGTGTGTGTGTCCGTCCCAGGACTGGTCCATAGATCTAAACAGGACCCTCAGTAGACGGGAAAAGAAGAAGCCATCAGAGGGTGTCACACTGACCGGCATCAGTCAAACTGGATCTGACCAGCCGGTTCAGCCTGCTAAAACCAGCAGCAGGTATATACCTCATCACTCTGCCACTCACTCTTTCTGTCTCTTACACACAAAATCTTTCCATAATACACACACACACACACACACACGAAAACACACACTTACACACACTTACGTACTCTGTCCTTCTCAATCAAACTCCCCACATCAGAGATAATGCCGTAAACCACACGTGGCGTCTTACTCTTTAGGAATGCTTGTAAAGCGCTGCATAAGGGGAGCTCCGGGAGTGACGTCTAGTTCCCATGGCAACAGTAAACATTTTGTCACAGTTTGTTGGGAAAGAAATCCTCCCTGTGGGATTGGAGCCGGCTGGTGAATAGTTGAAAGCCAGCCAAAAAGTAATGTGGAAATATATCCCTCACACACACACACACAAACACACACAGACTTTCGTAGCACGGATCCTGGTACTGGGAAGTTCAAAGACGTTTTTATGAGCAAATAATTTACACACTTGATTCAGATTCAAGCAACAAAAGCTCTATTGATGTATCATGAAATTCAAGCCACTTCATGTTTGATTGGCAATCTCTAGTAGCCTGACGTAATGTTTTAAAGCCAGATAAGATAAGAGTTTAGGTTTCCCTGAAGAGAAATGTGTGTTTGGTGTTGTGGCAACAGCATCCAGGAAGTATAACAGTGGTTCATGGAAACGACAACAAACATCCCATTTAAGAAAAAAAATACTTCTCGTGCACCCAACCTTTACGTTTAGAATTTTTAGTGACATTTGATTACACTGTCATGAGTTCTGGTAACACTCTCCTTTATATACAGATCTCAGTCAGTCCGAGTGGTGTATATACAGGAATCAGGAGGGTAGTGTCTAGAGGAGTCGACAAAGGGAATGTCAGGCACGGGAAGCATTTGACCTCTGAACTTGGGAATGTTGACTGCCTCTCCCCCATGAAGCCTTTACAGCTCATTGTTTTCCTGTAATTTCCTACATCTTTGGGCGGGACTTGTTTATGTACAGGATCTGGATCGCTTATAGAGCACTTGAGGTGAAAAAACAATTCCAACATGAAGGTTGATGACTTATCTTAGTCGTTTTTTTATCAGCATCAGAACGCCAGCTCTCATCCGTACAACATATTTGCACTTTTTGATCTTTCCCCTATCTGTTTATAACACCCCTATATTATGAAAGTAATACAGCTCTTTGAATACATTGGTTGGTAGTTTTAAAGCCAGCTTTGTTTGTTGACTGAAACCATCCCATGTTACATTGTGCCAGTGTCCCAGCAGAGCGGTGTTTGTGTAATAACTCCTCAGGCTCAGAGAGCAAGGCATGACTATGCAAACAAAGGCGTTCACTTTTCTCTGCTTCACACTCTGAAGGGCCAACTGATAGTTACAGCTGCTCATGCTCCAATGGTTCAGTAAACAGGGAGGAGAACCCTGTGTTTCCTCTGAATCAGCTGGAGGGTGCACGGTTTTGTTCCTCAATGCGGAGAGTGACAATAGTAGGAAGAAAACAACTTTTGCATTTACACTAAGCTAGAGATTACAATTAAGTGGTTTATGTATCACTCAGAAAGTGTCTTGTTTATGTTTTTATAGCTTTGTGTTAATTACGATGACCATTGTGTGTGGGTTTTTAGCTCAAAGACAAAAACAAGTCATATTGTCGTAATGGTGTCTTTTCTATCTGTTTAGTCTAAAACAGCTCCTTGTTGATGCTACTCGGGCTTATTATAAGATAGATATACAACAATGACTGGGTCATCCATCTCAAAGTTATATTTAAGATAAGAACTTTGTCTCACTTTTTTGTGTGTACCTCAGAAGCTCCGCTAAAGTCAAGCCAAAACGTTCTTAATGCTACGGTATAGGTCATAAAGTACGCCCTCTACATGTCAGTTGAATAGCATATCCACACTACAATCTTAACATTCACAGCAAATATATTTGTCCCAAGGGTTCTTCTTTTATAGTTGTTCTCGTCACGCCAATGTATGTTAGTTTTTTACACTTCCTTATTTAATTGTGGATTTAATTGGTCACTTATCAGTGTTGCCAGTCGTAGCATGTTAGCCAACATCTCCACTGAAGGCAACGTTAGCGAGTGTTGTCCTGCGCGTTTGTTCATCGTCTGTCACACGGAAATAACATTTCTAAATCAAAAATAAGCCAGTGTCAATTTGCTCATATATGTATTTAAAGAGAAATTGTGATTAGTTGTTGTGTCTTTCTACCATAAAAAAACATAGTGCTATCTAAGCAGTTGGAAGTCATGCTTATTACTGCAGGGAGTAACTTCATTAGCTGAGTATGCTAACATTTTAGCGTGTCCACAGGTCATGTATGTCTTCATGTGTGTGCATGTCAGCATTAGATCTCTAAATGTGTCCCATGTTGTCAGCCTGACTGTACCCAGTAGCACAGCACCAGTGGGTTCAAACCCCTTTGATGAAGATGACGGAGAGGAGGAGGATAAGGAGGAGGAGGAGGAGGAGGAGGAGGAGGAGGAGATGGCCGTGGAGCAGCAGCAGACCATAGTCAACCACAACAGTGTGAAAAAAGAGGAAATAAAAACGTTGGTGAACAGAAGAAAAAAAACATTGCCCACCCACTACCTCCCCGCCTTTTTCTTACTACTTTATGTCATGGATCGCCGTTAGTGCCGCGTGTCTTTCAAAACATTTCTTTGTCTCGGTTACTTTGATCCCTTCTTTCTTTACACTCCTCTCTCCTCCATCAGGTGGCCAGTTGTTGTGTTGCTCTGCATGGTCGCTGGCATTTGCACACAACGCCAATGTGTGTCTGTCCTTCTCTCCTAACAGCGCCATGTCTCGCAGAACATTATATGTCATGCGCAGGGGGGTGGGGCGCATGTATCAGCTGTGGGAAATGTCTTACAGTCAGATCTGAATATAGACACTTGTACGCATGTCTTTTATAGCACTTCTCTCACAATTGAAAGAGAGAAAAGTAATTGTAAGTTTATGAAGCAAGAATTTGGTTACAAATATGTCAATTGAAACTTTGAGTTGACCATCATACTGCATTTTTGTTGCAGTAAATCAACAAAAATGCAGGTAAACAAGTTTATATATGTTTAAAAGACACAAGCAGGTCTGACTGTAAATCTTTATGCGTGAGCTGGTGTTATTGTTTTCTGAACGTATAACTCTTTCTGTCAGAGCAAAGTTCTCTCTTGTGTTCAGGTGGCTCCCTCTGTTGGCCGTTCAGGTTCAAATCCAATCAGCCCTTCACAACAATGATTTGTCTCGCTTGGCCTTATGTTGCTGCATTTGTCATGTGTCTGTTGTTTTGTTGCCTTCCCTCAGCATTGTGTGCACTCTCACTTGAAGCTCTTGATCTTAAAGTGTCATCCAAAAAACGTTTGAATCATTTACGTTGCAACCAATCGCTTGCTTTGTAGCATCGATGTCACAAGTAAGCATGTTCACACTTATTTAGGAGGAAGATATTTTCAGGATGAATCACAAAGCTGTCGTCTGATTTTGAAATGAGCTTTTTGTGTGTTTAACTTGGTGTCTTTCTTGCTTTTCTTTCTTTTCTTTCTTTTGTTACTGCTTATGCCTGGCATGTTGGGTTTCCCCGTTGATGGCCCTGAGATTAACAAAAAATGACATCTTATAAGTGTCTCTTTCCCTGTCCATCCAGCGCGAGCAGTATGGAGAAGAATCAGGACTGGTCAGATGAAGACACAGGTGGTAACCCTTTCTCTGCCAACGGTGACGGCAATCCGTTCGAAGACGAGCCGGCTTCTCCTGTCGTCTCTGTCCCCGTCAAAGCTCTCTACGACTATGAAGGACAGGAGCAGGACGAGCTGACCTTCAAAGCAGGTACATTCAGTGAATAGTGTGAGGAACTTTCAGACTTGCAAAACCTTTCGCAATTCTGTCTGTTACCTCCAAAAACAAGTCATTTACTCATACATTTTCTGTCATATCTATTTATTTGTGTTATCCTGTGTTTTCTAGCTTAAGAACATTTGAATAAAAAGGTTTTGCCAGGAATATATTTCCTAAAAATAAATATATGGTTCTTAAATAAAAGGAATCTGCGAAACAGGTGAGAAAAATGTGCCTGGAAAAAAAGGGTTGTCATGATCTTGGAAAAAAAGGTTGTGGCTGGTTAAAGGTGGGTCATGTAATTTATTTCAGAAACACTTTTTGTTGTATTCCATGGAATGCTCTTAACATCCCGACAGCAATGAATATATTAAGTGCGTTGACAATAAATACATAAAAAAATGTAATCTGTGGAAGCTGTAGTACTGTAAAAAGCACGACCAATCATTTTAGCCCCGCTAAAGTAACTGGATGGCCTACCTGCCTGTCAGTCTTCCATCTCGTGCACAAACTTATCTCGTTCCCTCATTGGTCATGTGCGCGTTTGTGTGTGTTGGAGGAGGGGCTCTGTAAGGAAGTCTGAAGGAAGTGGCAGATTTTTTCCGGTTGTGTATTTTCAAATTCTAGCGCACTCGAGCTGGTTTCTCCAAAATGACATACCCCACCTTTAATTTGTATGCATTCATTTACATCAGGGGTGTCCAAACTACGGCCCGGGAGCCAAATGCGGCCCTCAGCAAATTAAAAAAGTATAATGGAATATGGCCCACAAATGAAGCTTGTGCTTGTCTTATATTGTACTTCTGTAAACATATATTACACAGTAGTTTTCATGTGTTAATAAGACCACTTTTCAAATAAATTCAGTCAAGTTGGAAACATTTTCTATTGAAAAAGCCCATAACAGTCTTGAAATACACCCTTCTTATTTCTCCTTATTATAATCAATCAGAGGCTTCTGTTTTAAGGGATGAGCGGCCAACACTCACAAGCATACTTTACCTACATTTGATTGATTTGGCTAACTTATAACTGAACTTATGAGGCGATATGCCTCTAGTGAGCGGCCCAGCCCTTCGTATATGTCTCTGTATGTGGCCCTTGGTGAAACTAGTTTGGACCCCTCTGATTTACATGATTTTGGCTACAAGAGGGCAGAAGTTTAACACTACCTCATATTCGGAATAGGACAATCTTGCTAAGCAAATGTTTTCCCGGCTGAAAGAAAATAAGCAAATATAGAACCTCCTAAGTCAAACACATGGGTGAAACCAATTTAGATCAGACTTCACATTTTGAATCCATCGTTTCTGGAATATAAATATGTATCCCTTCTTCCTGCTGCCTCCAGGGGACGAGTTCACCAAAATCGGTGAAGAAGATGATCAGGGTTGGTGCAGAGGTCGGCTCAAGGAAGGAAAAACAGGCCTCTATCCTGCTAACTATGTGGAAGACACCCAGTAATGATTTATTACAAATCAATAAATGTGAATACAAAGTAAGTGGTGTGTTGCGAGATGAGTGCGGCTGGAAACGAGGAGGCTCTGCATTATTTGGACCCTTTTCTAAGTGTTGGCGAAGACTGGACCGGTGTTGGAGAAGGAAGGTGGAGAAGTTGCAGATTATGAAAGGACCATTTGAAAAGTTATTGCTCGCCACAGATTGACAGTTAAAAGATGGAAATGTACCACAAGTTTCCAGATGATTCCAAGCTAAGAAGACCGCAGAGAAAAAATGCTGTGTAAATTATGTTACATTACTTAGAATCCCATTTATGCTGTTACAAAAATAATAGCCTTTCAAGTATATATTAGAAGAGATTAAATGTATGTGTGGATTTATATATTGTTTAAAGGAAACACTGGGAGGACACATCATCTTGCAATGTTACATGGAAGCCATTGAGGAAGATTACCCTTTTTATAACCATGAAGATCTATTTAGGTTTAAAACCATGTTTGCCTTTTAGAAGCCAGTCCATTAATGTTAAGATTTTCTCTTTTTGGACAAAGAAAGCTCTTATGTTGAGATTATTATGTGAGATTTAACCTGATTTTAAATGAGTGCTTACCTGTCCTGCCATTCCTTTCAGGGTTGTCTTTCCACTCAGTTCATCAACTGTTCTGGTTGTTTTATAAGGAATGATACAAATCAGTGGAGCGTTTTCCTGATATTCTTTATTTAGTTCACAATGGGTCGGTTCCTCTCGTCACTGCAATTGAATGTATATTCACTGATTGTATTTCCTCACTTATTTTTGCTGATTACTTGTTTTTCCCAGCACTGACCCCCCCTGAACAAACTGTCCTCAAACCTTTCACACAAGTCTCTCTCTACTTTCTGTTGATTGGAGATTGTAATACTATATGGGTTATTTTACGCAACACTGAAGGTTTTTCACAAATGTTTATCCCTCCTGAATCTTGTCTCACTTCTTGTATAACATCAAGACATGGGAGAATATTTGAGTGTTTTTTTTTTTTAAATACATCACAATTGATATAGCAATAAAACCACAGCCAAGTGTGGCATTGCATACATGCATGTAAATAGCCTGGATGAAAGATATTGGAACAAATTAAGCAGCAATATCAGATGATTTGTAGTTAGAAATAGATGATTGTTAATTTATGATGCCACAAGTGCTTTTGTTATACTCTTGTTAGAATGCTGTGACTGAGAATCAGTTTGTATAGTAATTGAATGTTTGATGGCAAACATCCCTTGGATCTGTTATTTTGATATATTTGTACATATTATTATCCCATGACAGATACTCATTTAATTAATCAACGAATGTGTGAATACTTGTTCATCTTTCCTTTGGATCAATGATACGATTGGACCTGATTTCTGTAGGCTTGCATTTCTGCAAAAAAGAACTGCAGGTTTTTCTTTTGAGCAAGCTTCAAATAAATGAAATGCCCAGTGCATCCATGAAATCAAATTAAACAAAAAGCTATTCGATGTCTTTACCTGCTACATGAGAGGAAAATTAATTTGGTTGTCTTTAATAATAGTGAGAGAGGAGACCATGTTTTCAGGGCATGCTGTCGTCAAAACACAGCAACAGCTGTTCTTGCACAGTAAGGTTTGTAAATGTTGTCCCACAACATAATAAATGGATTTATTGGATAAGCATTTTGCCTTTGTCTTGAGTACTGATATGTCTTCTTTTAAATTATACTTTTGATTCCAAAATGTGCACTGTATCTAAAAAAGAGCCTTATATTTTTGTTTGTGTGTGTCATGATTCCTAAAAAGTTTTATTTTGATTTCCTAGCGTCAATAGTTTCGGTGCACAGCTCTCTTGGTTGCAAAGTGTCCTGTTAAAGTAAATGTCAAGTCATACAAATCTGCAGTTGTTTAACATTGCATGTATGTGTTCCACACTCAACATGCTAAAATGTAACTTAATGGAATTTAATAAACCAAATTCAATGTACTATTTCCATTTAACAAATATTGTGACATGTTTGTAGTCGTTATCTTGTTGGTAAATCAGGATTCAAACTCAGTAAGGATCTTCTGATCACACATCTTGGCAATAATGAATAAGATTTCCTTGAGCTCAACAATGAAAACAAATATTGTATATGAATAGATTTACTCTGACGCAGAGGGGTAAGTGTATATAGTCCATATAAATACAATGTTATATTACTGAAATAAAGTTACATTAATTTGACATGAGGAAAGGTTGTAAAATACTTACTCAAACACAACTGGAGCTTCAGATGTCAAAGTAAACTGCATTACCCAGAAGCCCTTGGTACAATAACATAACCACGGGGCGTTTTTATCCAACCAGAGCGCGGCCACGGTGTTCTCCTATAGACGTGTCGTATTCTGTTATTGAGGAAAAACACAGCGCTGTTTTTTCTGCTACTTCTCTATCCAACCGACATTAATTAACCGACATATTAATAGAGACAGACAGAACAATGGCAGAGCCCAGCAGGCAGGATATCGCAGCTATTTTCAAGCGACTTCGCTCCATTCCTACCAACAAGGTGAGAGTTTTAAACAGCGGACGGTTTACTCTAACAAGGAAGTTGAACTGACACGTCGCACTTTGAGAAACGCCAACGCTAGCTTTAATGTCACATCTTAATTTACCAACAAGCTGATACTTATCGTGTTGGAAATGGTCGTTTCTTGTTGAATTGTGTCCTGGTGGGAGAACAACCTGTCAGACAACGTGTTAGCAGACGTAGCATTAGCTAAGTGGTTGACAGCTAAGCTAGGCTATATTTTGACAGTTGACATGTAGCTAGCTGTGTTTGTTCTGGCTTCACTTTTTAAAGCTCCCTTAAGGCCACTTAGGAAATATGGGACATGTGTGCATACATCCTGAATCATACCCAAATGGAAGTATGTTTATTTTTCCAGTGGAAGTTAATTACATTGCCTATGCCAACAGCTGTTTGATTCGGCAGCACCATGCACTTTAGACCTTGTGTCACCAACACCCTTCACTTTGTTTGCTTCCACCTTTGCTCTTTTCTTGACTTTGATCGTATGTATTTGAATAAGGTGGGGGTTGAAACATGACCTTTAAATCAAAATCTGTTTAATGAGATACATTTTCTCCTGTGCTCTCCTAGGTTTGCTTTGACTGCTCAGCTAAAAACCCCAGTTGGGCCAGCATCACCTACGGCGTGTTCCTGTGTATAGACTGCTCTGGGACTCACAGGTCTCTGGGGGTTCACCTGAGCTTCATCAGGTATGTCGGGACTTATTCATGATGTAGTTTCAAAACAAAATACTAAAACATGAATTTAACTTTTATTCATCACAATACAAAACAAGACGACGGATTCATTTCTCTTTAGCATATCTTTATGAACACACAGATATATTCACATGTTTTTAGTTTTGTATGTTTACATGTTATTGTCTGTAAATATGTACGTTGACATTTGAGTTGATTTTTGCGGTGTATTGTCATTGCTTCTGCCTCTGCTTTTATCACTGCTTTTATTCATTTGTGTCTATTCTTATTACTGCAGTAAGAGTTGCAAACGAAATGTCAATATACCTATGTATGATGACAATAAGGATATTCAGATTTACAAAGATGAACAATGGAATTCAATCAGCAATGGGGGAAATCATGCTGTACTACAAACAAATGCATACAATAAACAATAATGGTATTCTACTTACAGCATTAGCAGTGAACGCAAAAGTAACAAAAGGCAAATTACAGACAAATCAAATTTTTGCATGAGTAAATACTTTTAACCACATTCAAAGTTTTTCTTATTTTCTGCCTAACTATTCGTTGCACAGCTTGTTCAAATCCTGTCATTGCTGTGTTTCACAGGTCCACTGAGCTGGATTTCAATTGGTCGTGGTTTCAGCTAAGATGTATGCAAGTGGGAGGCAATGCCACTGCGGTCAGTACCTGAACGCAGCATATCAACACATTTTAATCGCAGTATTGCATAAGACACATGTAAGTAAACATAATTCTTCCTGTCGTGTTTCCTGTATCGGTTCAGATTTCCTTTTTCAGTCAACATGGTTGCACAACCAGCGCCGCCAACACCAAGTACAACAGCCGAGCCGCTCAGCAGTACAGGGAGAAGATGAAGACTTTAGCCACACAAGCCACCAGAAGACACGGCACAGAGGTAATGCAGAACTGGTTTAAAACATCCAACTCATGCAGGTTGCTCCACAGAGTCAAAGGAAGCCAGAATTGGTGGTTGATAAAACACACTTTTGCTAGTAGTTACTCTTTGCATAGTATATCTCTAAATGGCTGTATCAGATTAACCGCTCTCCTTCTTTTACAGTTGTGGCTGGACAGTCAGGCTCCTCTCTCCCCAACAGCACCAGAAGACAAGCAGGTGGATTTCTTCAGTCTGCACTCACAGGTAGGGGAGTTGACTCTTAATATATCCAAACGTACCTGCTTGATGTCAACCTACGCAGACAGCGGTCATTTAACCGCATGCGTCTGTTTATTGCCCAGGGTCCTGCTGATATTATGAACACGCCCAAAATGAATCTCAGCCTCTCCACACCACCAGAAAAGCCTTTAAGCCGGGAAAAGGAGAAAGACGATGATGGTATAAAAAAAAAAACACATACTAATTGTATTGATATCAATCCCATTCATGTGGCTTATTACAATTTCATTCATTCAGGTCATCTAGATGAAGGTCCTAGTGTCGATATGCTGAGTGTTTCTCCAAAACAAAATCAAGGTTGGTTTGTATTCTTCAGGTCTATTCAACTTCAAGACTTAGTTTTTGCATGAGTTGTAACTTTACTCTGCTTTGATCGCCCCAGAGCCTTCCTCTCTTCTCAAGAAGAAGCCAACTGCTGCCAAGAAATCAGTAAGTACTCAGATATAGCTCTGTTTAGACACTACACATTATCCTATTCCTAAGTGTGTGTCATAGTGTGGTTTCTAATATGTCTACTTCTAGCTGGCCTCTAAGAAGGGTGGTCTGGGCGCTCAGAAGGTGAGCAGTAAGAGTTTCTCAGACCTGGAGAAGAAAGCTCAAGCTGCAGACAAACTGAGGGAGAAAGACGAGGGCACCGGTGCTGCCAAGAAGAACTATCAACCCGAGGAATCCATGTGCGTCTCTTTACTTATTTTTCTCCCCTTCCGTGGTCATACATGTATATTTTGTGTCATTCTTTTTTTGCTGCTGTACTACTTTTCTTTAACCTGCCTTCTTCCTTCTCAGCGTTCCATCGCTGCGACTGGCCTGTAAAGATCTGGAGCAGCAGAGGAAAATGGAGGAGAAGATGTTTAAAGGATTGGAGGGGAATAAGAAAGAGCAAGCAGAAAGGCTGGGCATGGGGATGGGCATGAGGAAGTATGATGATGATGATGATGATGATGATGATGATGATGATGATGAAGACATAACTTCTAATGTGGGCTGATTTAAAGATTAGAAGCATATCTTTACTTGTTTCTTGCCCTCATTGTATCTTTGCAGTGCAGTGTCTCACTCTGTGACCTCGGACATGCACATCATCCAGCAGGAGAGTCCCCAGGGGGCCAAGACCTCCAAAGGACGCCGCTTCACTGAGGAAGAGGAGGACGGAGGGTCCTTCAGCTCTAGGTCAGCCTTATAGTCTTCATTTCTAACTTACATGCATGTATTCATTTGTTATTTGTTAATATATTGTAAGTTAATGCGAGTTCCCATACCCTACTTGATCTTAACTCCATCTAAATATGTTCCTGGTAGCAAAGATTTTGAATGTGAACTTGAAATCTGCCTTTACTGCAGCTGTTCATCAATGACATTACTCCTCCATCCTCCACAGTGTTTTCTCACCTGACATCCTTCTCTTCATTCTTCAGGGTTATGTCTCGGTTTGAGGAGACGGAGACCTCAGATAATTACTCCTCGGGTTGGAACGATAAAGGTGACGGAGGAGGCTGGATGAAGGAGAGCAAGAAACCAGAACCGGACTTCTTACTGACCTCCGCCATTACATCGCTGAACGACAGGTAGGACAGTGTGTTGTTGTTGCTTTACATCGTACGGATCTAACCTTTATGCTTCCAGAATGTAGAGCTGGTGGTTATTATATCACGATTGTTTTCAATTGTAATCATTGCTTGTTATCAGGCCAACGTCCAGAAGGAAACCAGAAGCAATGCCGGTGTCAGACTCCGGAGAAGCTCAGAAAAAGTTTGGCGTTGAGGTGAAAGCCATCTCCTCCGACATGTACTTTGGAAAACAAGATAACAACGAGGTACAAACTGGAAAATGAAGAACTTGTGAATTCATTATGAATGATTAGAGTTGTCTTGCATGCTTTTTTAAATATCTATCGTAGACTGACACATCTAATCGTGAATTAGACCCGTGCTGAAAGTGATCGTGCATTTCACTTTACTATAAACTGTTTGAATTTGCTTTCTTTAGTACGAGGCCAAAACTCGACTGGAGAGATATGCTGGCAGTGCCTCTATAAGCTCAGCAGACCTTTTTGATGATCCAAAGAAACAAGCTGGTAAGAGACACAGCTCCACTGCCCTTTCAAAAACTATTCAATATCTAATTATTATTTACACTTAGACGCATGTAGCCTCATGCAAGAGCATTTTTGAATTATCTTCCTAATTTTTGTAGTGTTATATGTCAGACTTGTATACATTTTTAACTGCTCAAATGTCGTAAATTGCAACCTTTAACTTGATGAATGCCACTTCTGAAACATGATCATTCATTTAATAAGGCTGCCTTTTTCTGCTTATTTGGTTGGTATGTTTTATTCATCAAAACTGTTTCACAGTAGTAAATTGAAGACAATAATAATAATAATAATAATACATTACATTTTTAAAGCGTTTTTCCTGGTGCTCAATGTGCTTACAAGCAATCATGTGTCATTAGAGCTGTGCTGTGTGTACTAAGGTAGAAATAATGAGAGAATGAGCGGATCATGAATTGGGGAATTGATGAGAAACTGAAGTTACACTATGACTTACAGCAAGCTGCTAAAGAGCCTTAAGCCTCCATCAGTGAGAATAGAATAGAACTACTGACATTTACAAGTTACCAAAATATCCAAATGAATTCCTAAAAATGTACCTATCCAAGATTATGATGATAATATGTACAGAGTATTTATTTATTTCCATTTTAGTTGTCTCATTCACATATTAAAGACAAACTGTTCTTATGTAAAACGTGTTCTTAACTTTGTAGGGATGCACACTGTTTTTTGTACAAGACACAATTGGTGAATTTCACAAATTCTCTTACTGTACATCACTTGGGTGTTCCAATTTAAAACAAATATGTTCTCACATGTCTCTCTGCTTCCCTCACCCTTTGTTTTGTGCTTGCAGCGAGTTCCTACCGCATGACCAACGTTCTGCCCAACGCTCCCGACATGTCGCAGCTCAAACTGGGAGTGCGCTCAGTCGCAGGAAAACTCTCCGTCATGGCCAGCGGCGTTGTTAGCTCCATTCAGGTCGGCCATTGGATCAGGTCTATATAACCTTCTCTTATGACGAGCATTAATTCAAGTTCTAATCATTGATGTTATTTGTTTTCCAGGATCACTACAGTTCTTGAGCCACGGCGCGTCTCCTTGGAGTTGTTGATGAAATACGTTTCCTGTGGTCACTCATCCTGGGAAAACATGTGCCCCCTTGATGGCATCGAAATCAACCCCCCGAAAAAACCCTCTATACATCTATATCTAGTTTTTTACGAGATAATGTATATAGAATTATGAGGATCGAGGGGATCAAGCACAATCTTTTTTGAGTGGAATTGTGTTCCCTTGAAGGAAGATCTCTGTGTAATGTTGAGTTATGAAGAATATTTAGTTTGGGGTTAATGCACCGTTTGAGGTATTGGGGTTTAAATATTTAGAAGTATTATATGTAGCAGAGGGTTTATGGTGTTTTGAAGTATGGATTTTTGATTCCTTTATTTGACTGGTTGAAAGAAAAAGAAAGCTTAGTAATGAGGACAATTCAGTTTTCTTTTGTTTTTTTTAATTGGTTAACATCAACACATGTATTGTGCATTTTTGCACTTTCCCACAATTTTGAAAGTGTCCTTTTCCGTCCTCAAAGTGCTCTTATGTGTGCTCCTCCACAGACAGGCCCTTTGGTTTTAATTTGTTTCTGCTTTTTCTTGGTATTGTGTTTACACCGCTGCTATGACTGTCTATGCTGCCTCCTTTTGGTTTCAATAAACATTTAATGGCACACATCTAAGAAGACACTCTTGAAGGCTGTATTTCCCCTTATGCTTTTTTGTAGCTCCAATGTACAGCAACGTTAGGCATCCCTTTTTAAATCCTTCATCTTTTTGTTGCTGTAACATCCTGCCAGGTTCGTTACCAAGTTGGTAATTTGGCAAACATAGCACTACATGTACGCTGTAGTCTGACTTTGGATTTTGAGGCGCTAGAGAAGCATTTATTCATGGCTCTGATATGAAATACTACGGCTCTTGCTTTTATGATTTAGGGATAAGTGCTTTATCTGGAACTGGATTATCATATTACTGATCTCTGTACTGTTAATGCTTCTCAGGAGTTTGAATTGAGTTGTTAAGTATGAAACACTATAAGAGAAAGTTGTAGATCCTTCAGTGACCAAATATTTGTTTACTCTATCACTGTAAGCCTTAGTCCAAAGATCCTCACAACACACGCTCATACTCCAATATTTTGGAGTCATCTGGTTACCTTGTTTGCACCTTGTTTGTTAGAGACTGCATGTGGCAGCTTGTGCTTGAATGTGCTGTTCTACAATTGAATCCTTGCTTATAAGTTGAAATTGCGTCCATGTGAGACTTTAGTTTGGTTGATCTTTGTAATATTCCTTTCTGTCTTCTGCTGTTGAATATTGTTAAATGTCAGGAATAGTAAAATTGCATGACCGTTAAGGACCCGCTGACACATCCTGAGACCCACTTATTAATAATGAAAAAACATTGTTCTATAAAACTGTATAGTAGTGCTACAAACCACGCTGTATAGGGCTTTGACTTTCCATTTATAGGACGCTACAGATAATCATGTTTTGACATATTTTGACACTCAAAATGTAAGTAGGATTTATTGAAACATGCCAAATAAATGGCTTGTGCCGAAGCCTTAAAACCTGTTTCTCTGTGTTTGATTGATTAATCTTTGTTTGGTAGAAATTAGAAGAAAAAAGTGTCCATCACATTGTCTCACAAACAGTGTAAAAACTATTATATATTTGCAATCAAACCATACACATGTCTGATATTTATTTTTGTTTGATCCATTTTCTGTCTGCAGACTATTTAATTAATAGGTTAGTAGTTATTTGTAGAGTTTCCAGTTTAGACATCATAAAGCAGGCCACATCAGGACAAATGCTGGCAGTCGCTTACGTGGCTGGCTGAGGCGTTCACTGTGCTTCCTGCACGGTCGGAACTATGAACGTTAAAATTGGAACTCAGTTTAATGATTAAAGACATTGGCAAAAGCAAATTGTAATTTTATTTTCTATTCAAAATTATTGTGTTAAATATAAATGTTAAAGATAAATTAACAATACAATAACTAATTCTTACATTTTACCTGGTTTTAGTCTAGCAATTCTGCTAATTTAGGATAAATACGATCTTAATAGGAGAACCTGAAGGCATCCTTTTTATCAAGGAGCAGGGTAAAGCAAAAGGATTGTTAGCGGTGACGTTTTTAATTTATCACCGTTAATTATACATTTAACAAACCTGTAGTATCCTACATTATGTTCCTACCTGTAAAAGAAGTGTTTTATTTTAATTTGCAACTCAACGAATAGCTTTTAAGACTTTTATTTTGACTGTTGAATTCCTTCACTGTGAAAGTTACCCACTGAGTGCCAGTGTGCTAAGATGCCTGCGGAGTTAAAACAGAGGAAGAAGTCTCAGAAACAAAGCGACCCAGTTCCAGAAACTTCGGCTACTAATGGGAAAGATGAAACGCAGAAAGTGAAGACTGAAGCTGGAAACAACGCAGGAGCGAACAAAACCTCCTCCAGTTTGGATGTTAGGAGTTTAATGTGCTTGTTGTCGCTGGCAGCGTGCGGGGCTCTCAGCTGGTGAGTATACATACATTAGTAAAGTAACTAAGTACATTTACTCAAGTAATGTGTAGTACAATCTTTAGGTTATTGTACTGTTCTTCAGTATATCAATTTCTTGCCACACTGTACTTCTACCCCACTACAATTCAGAAGGTAAAATAAATATTGTACTTTCACTCCACTACATTTATTTAATAGCTTTATTTACTTTGCAAATGTTGTCTAGTTACACCTGGAGTTATATTCACAATATACCCTGCAGCAAATTAACGTTTAACAGCTTTGATAACACTGTAAATCCAGGCTGAAGACTTTTCTTTTTGTCGCTGCTTTTAATTGAACTATTCATATCTTAGACTGCACTGTAACTTTTATCCATGTATTTTTTCTTTTAATGTTTATTAACTTTTTTTTTTAATGACTGATTTCAAATGCCATTTTCTTAATGTCTTTCATTTTTTGTAAAGCACTTTGAATTGCCTTGTGTTGAAAAGTGCTATATAAATAAACTTGCCTTGCCTTGTAATACATCAATAATTACAATAAAAAACATGTCATATACATTATACTGAAATCTGCATAATGTCTACTTTTCCTTTTGGTACTTCAAGTATATTTTTATGCTATTAACTTTGTACTTTTACTTAAGTAACATTTGGATTGCTGGAATTGTACTTGTAACAGAGTATTCTTACACTTTGATACTCCTAATTTTACTTAAGTACAAGGTCCGAGTACTTCTCCCACCTCTGTTTGTAAGGAGTGTATTTCTTTACTAATGTGTCTGTGTGTTTCTCTGTTATAGGATGGTACTGCAACAGAATGACAGGTTTTCTGCTATTGAAGAAAAGTACAAATCTTTGCAAGGAAAGACTTCGAGTCTGTTCGACATGGAGGAGGAAGTCTTAAAGGTTTCTGAAAAGGTACGTTTGATTTATAGTGGAACATTATGAGAGCTGCCTTGAGGGATAGAACTTTTAAAGGGTTACAAAAAAGGATTCCCATGCACACCATTTTGATGTTACATGGCCAGGTTTTGAGATATTTGTGTCTGAGATTTAATAAGAGAATATAATTACATTTGTGGTGTTTAAAGCATTACATGTACATAATGGCATTCATTTCTTCTGTTGCAATTTTTTTGGATTTTGTGTATTTGGGATAGGAAATATGTTGCTTTTCAAGAAAAAGAAATCCCACTAGTTTTGAGTCGGAGACATGCATATTCGTATCTGTATTTCAAAACCTGGATAAGTAATACAAAATAAAACTACGTGCATAGATAAATAAACGATAAAACATATATTAATCGTGAAAGCAATATATTCATGCAAATAAAAAAGTGTTCTGTTCAGCCTCTCAAATGTGAAGATTCTCTGCTTTCCTCCGTATTAACATATTAAACAAAATATCTTTGAGTTTTTGACTGACAAAACAAGATATTAGCTTAGACTGTGAGAAACTGGGATGGATATTTTCTGACATGTTATATGATTACCAAATGATGAATTCATAATAAAATTGCCAATTAGCCCTAGTACTCTTTCACCACTTTCTCTTTTACAGTCCCCCTACACAGTGCCTTTGAGTATGCATGCGTTTTGTTTCCTGCTGTATCTGTCATGTATGAATACTGAGGTCCATAGAGCTCCCACAGAAACAGCCCTCCTGTTTTGTGTTGCGGCTGCAGCTTGCCGCCTCTGAGGACGACCTGCAGGAGGCGCTCTCCACCGTCTCCTTGGCAACACGTCTCCAGCAGGACATCTCCACCCTCCATGCTGCTGTCACGGTGATGCAGAACGACGAGAACTCTGCCTCCCGCGACCTGCAGACGGTGAGCGGCCACTTCCTGAACGTGACGGAGACGTGGCAGGTGCGTCTGGCCGCCATCGCCTCCGACCTGACCGCCCTCAAGTCCGAGTCCCGGGAAGCTCATGCCGGAGCCACGGAGCGGGTCAACGAGGCCGAGCGGCAGGCCCGGTCGCTGGCGGAGAAACTGGAGGAGCTCGAGGACAGCACCAAGAGGAACGCCCGAGCTATGGAGCGCACAGAGGGGGACGACACCAAGCGATCGCAGGAACATCTGGACTGGAACACCAAGCAGATCCACCACCTGGAGGAGAAAATCAGCAGCCTGACCAAGAGGGAGGCCGAGCTCGACACCGAGCTGCAGGAGCACATCCCCCGGGCCAAGGAGTGTGAGCAGCACCTGCCCCAGGTGGAGGAGGCGGTGCGCTCCATCCTGAGGCTGGCGGGGGACCTGAGCGGGGCGGAGAAGCGCCTGGAGGAGGTGACGCTACAGGTGTTTGGGACTGAGGACAGCATGCTGAAAGCACTCGGCGAAATCCTGGAGATCAGACAGGAGCTGGACACCCTGCAGGCTCAAAACAGCATCCTGAAGATGAAGAACGAGTTGTCCGTGGTTAAAGAGGCAGTCCATGAACTCACCATGGTGCTGAGGGGAACTACAGTCGACAGCCTGAAGGAGGAAGACACTCTGGAGGAAGAAGGATGGAGAGAGGAGGAGGAGGAAGAGTGGGAAACATACGATGATGAGGAAACTCCACTTCTTCCTGATTAACTCACTGAATGATGTCATTGTTTTTGAGCCAACTCGAAAAAGACAGACCCACCTACCATGTGTTACTATTTGCTGTAAAACTGCTCAGTATTAGTTCAGTATTATTGTTTTTCAAATGTACACCTCAGTTTCATGTTACAAAAATGCTTTTGCATAAAAGTTCCCTGATTTGAACATGAACTCTGGTATACATGCACTGTATTAAACAATAGCACAATCAATAATATTTATTTTAATATTTGTTCAATGTGGACTTCCACATTTTGGTTTCTATAGCATTCGTATACAACATGACCCATTACTATGCCAAGTTGTATGACAATATCTGCTCCAGTGTTTCTAGATAAAACGACATTATAGTTTAAATTATGTCAAATTATTAATCAATTAGTTAATTGTTTTGTACTTCTAGCTTTTAAAAATGCAGGATTGCTCTTCTTTCCATCTTTAGTTTTCACATTTGAATGTATGGCAATGATTTCCTTATAGAACATATTGAATAAAATCACCTTTTTTATTGAAATTGTCTTATTTGTACAAATGTGTCTTTTCCCTCCTTTTTAATCTTGTTTACTTAGGCACTACTTTCTTAACTGTGTTTTTCATAAATCTGAAACGATGCACTTTTGCATTAGTGTTTTAAATAGCTAACACACACACATGCAGCTGTCGTGTCCTTGAATCTATGTGCTGTCTGTCCTGTTTCAGTGTGAGAGCGTCCAGCTGATGCTGCAGGGTCTCGAGGGTCAGAGGGGGGCTCTGGGGCCCCAGCTGGAGGGTCTGCAGCAGGACGTGAGCCGGCTGCAGGAGTGGTCCTCGGGGCTGAACGAGAAACGGGCTCAGCTCCAGGGCAGCCTGTCGTCGCTGAGAGACGCTGTGGGACAGATCGAGGAGCGCACCTCCGCCATCGCCAAGGACTTTGTCAACAAGGTAGGTCAGCTCCTGTTGAAGGACAACACATACTGTATGTTACTGTTCCTTGTATATTCTGTTTGCCAGGTCTTAGGGTCATATTGTGAACCCAGAAATGTTGAGCACCCGAAAATGTTATGATAGAAATGTATAGGGTCAGAGGGTTAGGCACAGAGAAACTGCCCGATGCTAACTTGCGTATGTTGGGAAATGTGCACAATTAGCATAAGTTGCATTAATTAGCATTTGCAGACAATAGTTACAAAAATGGCTTTGCCGATTTGGACAATTTTTGAATGGTTTTCAAGGTAATTGAGGATGTTGAATTGATTTCTTACATTTTCAAGATCAAAAATGTCAGTTTTAACCAGAAAGTGGCCTTATTTGTAGTGATTTTGATGAATCTTTGCTCAATTTTTAAGTTTTAGGGGACTCAAAATGTATTAATGCTAATAAATTCAACTTATGCCAATTTTGCAAATTGCCCAACATATGCAAGTAAGCATCCGGCACTTTCTATGTGCTGGGGACCCTTACTATACATTTCTAACATAAAACTTGGTGGTACTCAACAATTCCGGGTTCACATGGCAAGTAAACTAGTAAAAGGTTGGAATACGTTTTAACAAGATGTATCTTTCTTTTATTGCTATTCTATTTATGTATAGTATAGTATTCGTTTATTTGTCCCCGAGGGGAAAATGGGTTGCAGCACATCACAAAAGCATTTAAAAAGATAAGACAATACGTCACTGACAACAACATAGACACAGATTAAAACAAACAGACATAAGAAAACCAGATATCGGCAGACATGACAAGGGGCCTATAGGCCCTCATTTGCGAAATAGATGTGTCTCTACTTTTTACTGTTTTTATTGTTAATGTTAATTAATTTAAGCAGTCGCTGGCACAGCAATCTCCTTAAGGTTGCTCTTCAGTGGTAGAAAGTGAAACAACAAAGTACAATTTTTTGATATTTTTACTTTACTTGAGTATTACGTTTTTTTGCTAATTTCTACTTCTACCCCACTATCTTTAGTTACTTTGCAGATCTGGATGAATGATGTGAAATATAATCAACTCTTAAATCAGACTTTAGTTCCACCTGGAGTAAATTCACAAGCTACCCTGCAGTATACAAAGTCATTCAAACTAGCTGCACCTTTACCAGCTTTGAGAACACTTTAATGATCAATCCTTAGAAAACATATCATATATATTATTCTGAAATGGTCCAATCTGCAATATGACTACTTTAACTTTTGATACTTTAAGTATATTTTGATGATAATACTTTAATACATTTACAGAGTATTCCTACACTCTGGTACTTCTACCTAGGTACAAGATCTGAGTTCTTCTCCCACCTCTTTTGATCTTATCTTCGACCACCACTTTAAAATGTTCCTGTTGCTGTTTGAAAAGTATTTCTCCTCTGTTCTGTGTTTGGCCTGTAGGTGGCGTCGGTGAGGACGGACGTGCGCAGGATGCAGGGCCTGCGCTCGGAGCTGGAGTCTCTGCTGACCCAGGTGACGAAGCTGGAAGACAAAACCTCTCAGGTGGAGCACAGCATGGTCATACGCATCGGGGACGTGCTGGCCAACAGCATCGACCGGGTCCAAAATCTCCGTGACGCGTCCGAACGCAACACTAAGGCCATCGAGCAGCTCCGCAAGCAAGTCCCTGAACTCACCGCGGCTGATACACGGATCTCTGAGCGCCTGAGGGAGCTGGAGAGCGGCAGAGCTCGGCTGATAAGAACAGTGACCTTTGCCAGTGACCTCAAACCAAAAGTAGCTTCTATCAAGAGAGACTTGGGGGCGTTTGAGCCTCAGCTGTCAGACCTGACTCTGCGGATAGGAAGGCTGGCCGAGGATCTGATGAAGAGAGAGCAGGAGGTCGCTGAGCTGAGACAGACTCTGGCTAACCTCACTGCTGTAGAGGAAGATTTAAGTGTTACTGCTAAACAGGTCAGTGAAATAGCTGATATCTCTGATATAGGAGCAATGCACCGGCCAACATGAGCCATACTTCAACATCATCAAGATCAAAGATTTCTCCTTTTGGTTTGTCCTCTGCAATTACATCTGGTCAACTGTACTACTGTTTGAGCATTTACTGAAATTCACATTTTTATTCTAACTTAAATAAAAATGAAACATTGTCTACGAAATTGTGATCTAATTTAAAAAAGATAAGATTGTTGTATGTTCAGCACATTTCTAAAAAGTGCATTAAATAAGCCCAAACCAGCAATAATATTCAAAACTATTTTAAATAAAAGGTATTATAGGAAGTGAATGCCTGAAAACTTTAACAAATAAAGATACAATTGAGAGGATGAGGAAAGACTTTCAAGCGTGTGTCGGTAAATCATTTAAAATATAGCAGTAAAGGTTAACATAGGTCACTCAATAAGACAAAGACCATCAAAACAAACATTAACATTTAAAAAAAAAAAGTATTTAAAAGATGATGCTGATTCACATAATTTACTCAGGAAGATTGTTTCAAAGTATTCTTGCCCTAATAAATAAAGTGCAGCCATGTTTTTTGTTTAGCTTGACCCAAGAAACAGAGCTGGTAACAATAACCCATTAGACGTTTGAATGACAACAGCAGCATCGTGTCTCACAGTATTTCTTGAGTTGTAAAATGTTTTTGTTTTCTTTGTTGGTTCCCTCCAGCCATATGTGGTTTAACGGTTGAGGTTAACTGGTTTGTTTTGTTTTCCCACATTTTACACTGATTTTATTTTCTTTGGTTCAATGGCTGTTCCTCTAGCGGTGTGTTTTTAGGAAACAAATGTTTTATTGAAAATTTAAGTATTTTGCCATACAGTAAATAAGGTAATTTCATAAGTCATTCTGTGTCTTGCAGGAATATTTTTGGTAAATACACTACACTCCAATCTCATGTTTTACAGTAAATATGAAGCTACAGCTGGCAGAGTACGAAATCAACAGGAAAACGGCTCCTGCTAATACTGGGTTATAGGCAGGGGTTAAATTGGGCCGGGGCTGTCCGGGGCTCAGCCCCGGCACATAGGACGATGCTCTGACGTCATCACCCTCGCTCATTTGTCATTTGTTTAAGCCATATGTTAAAACATCTCTCGTTCTTAATATAGACTTTATTTAGGGTCAATATGTGTTGACTTTACTTTAAAATAGCAGATCTCTGTGACAGGATATCGTTTTTCCGTGTGTGTGTGTGTGTGTGTGTGTGTGTGTGTGTGTGTGTGTGTGTGTGTGTGTGTGTGTGTGTGTGTGTGTGTGTGTGTGTGTGTGTGTGTGTGTGCGCGTAGAGTCTGCAGCGGTACCGCCAAACTCCCGACCCATCTTGTAACACGGAGCCCGTTTCCTAACCCATCAGGGCCGGTTCTAACCAATTTGCTGTCCTAGGCGAGATTTTAGCTGCCCCCCCCCCTACTGCCAGAATATTGTTCAGTAGAAAAGATAAAAGTATCCAAGGAATACACAATAGAATATATAAAAAATAAATGAAAAATCTCTACAAAAGACCAATACACTACA